GGGTCGAAATTTTGGAGTTTTCACGGTGCTAATTATTCCATTTCAATGAAACTTAGTACAAAGATGCTCTAGGACAATGTACAAACCTAATTAGTTTGGGGTAAAAATCTGTTCATATTAATTCCCTAACAAGCATAATAATTCATAATTTTTTGGTTCTAATCACATTTCAATTAAACTTGGAGACATAGATTTTCTGTTACATTGCGCAGACCTCATTAGTTTTACACACAAATCTGGTCATATTAATTTTCTGATTTGCATAATTAGTTTTCAGCTAAGTAATTTCGAATTATATTTAATGTGTCTCCAATACTCTCAGCACATGGGAGTTCTTTCTAAACTTTCTTTGATTTTCTAATGTTTTCATACATAGGGCATTTTAAAACGAAGAGCATGTGCTGCTGAGTAATAGAAATAATACAATATATGCATAATTATGTATGTAGAGTGTGCTTGAGATGCTCTCGTCTAAAATTAAATTTACCTGAAGTTTGTAAAAGTTTATCAGAAACTTATACCTGAAGTTTGTAAAAGTTTATCAGAGACTTATAATTATTATAAGCACATTTTAAAATTTTTCAATGCTCAATGTTCTTGCATTTTGAAAATCCCATGGGTATTCTTTGACATCTATGGTATAGTTCAGTACATAATGCATTCTGGTGTTTTATTACAGCGTAACATTGGTAACACTTATGAAGGAGGAAAACTGAATTTACTGACTATATTACATCTCTACAATTTGTCTTTACATTTGTATATAGAAAAACTACAGCAAAGTAAGAAAATCTATCATTTTTATTATGTTCTTTGATCGCTACAATTAAATTTGTTATCCTGTTAAATTTAAGCATTGCTCTGGGATTAAGTCTGGAATAATAAAGACCTTTCATTCTTTGTTGCTTTCAGCTGTGATGCCACAATTTAAAGAGTTGAATCCCAAAATTGCCACGGAATTTCACATTCATCATGCACATCTTGTGAATACACAAGCTTTGAAGTAAGTAGAATTGGTGAAAACACTCAATTCACAGTTGGTAAACTTATAGTGCCTTCTAACACTTTTACATGGAAATCTGTTTTTGTATAGTGTTTTTTTTTTTCAATGTATATTCTCAACATTTGCCCAGATTTTGCATTTGTATGCAATGGCTAACATCACATCTGTTTCCCAACCTTTGTTACAGTAATAATTAGAACATTGATATTCCAAGTTTATTGACATTCATTCAGTGTTGTTATTTTCGATAGTTGAGCAATTGCGTCAAACTAATTCTCATTTTTTCTCATAATTCATGATGCTAGTACTGTAAAATCTGTATTAGAAGCCGCAGTTTCTATTAAAAGGGTACAATACGACAGTGGCGATGCGGTTTCGAACATCTACACATACGAGAAATTGTGATTTTTTGGTTTTCAAAGAGAATGGGTGCAACTTCTATTAGGGATGCGGCTTCTAATACAGAATTTACAGTACTTGTTTATCAGAAGATTGCTTTGTATGAGAAGTATGATTTGACATTTAGTTGTACGTTTGATTTCATGAGGCATCCTTAAATTGAGTTTTCTCAGTAGTACAGACTATGTATAACATAATAATGAAACATGAGAAGCTCGGAATTAAAATACCAGCTCAAAATAATTAACATTTCATCATATTGACTGTATCTAGCAAGAGTCCTAGGAACAAACTTTATATTATTTATTAGGCAACAGTGAGTTAGAAATCCCTTCTTGTATGAAAACCAGTGCAACAGGAGCAACTATTGGCAGTGATTAGATTTAAATCTTCACACTACCTGACAGGAAGTTTAATTTTTTTCCCCTGCACAACCCTAGTTCAATTGACCACCAAATCTGTTGCAGAATATGTTGTGCATGCAATTGTAATAGCCTGAAATATTTTTCCCTGCATGAGAAATGACTTTTGTGTTTCATTTTCATTTGTCAAAGATAATTATTTGCTTATTAATTGCTGGTTTGTATTTGACATCACCGAGTTCCAAAACTTTAATCTGACAAAATATTCTTGTATGGTAAGTATTACATATGTACTGCAGTTTATTTTGATTCGTCCCTGAAATCAAAATCGGTATTTCCACAACCCATATGCAAATGAGGTCTGAGAGCAAACAAAGTAGTCCCTTCAGGAGTACAGTTTTTTGGAATAAACAATATTTAGAAGTACGATATTTTCACCTTGGGGTACATGAATATACTTGCCGAGTGACATGAAATTTGAACAACAGTAATGGTACTTTTAGGCAGCCACTTATTTTGGCCCAAACTAATTTGCATATCACCCATGCAATAATGTTTTCGGTATTTTCACGGTCGATATGCAAATGAACATGGTATTTTCATTGGCTACCGAACTATTTTTATTTTGTAAACACATTTTTGTCTGCTATTTTTATCCAGTTCAAATCGTTCAACAACATTTTTGGCATGTCAGGTGTACATCACATGGAATACTACGATTGGGAGAACTTAATGTGTGTTGACCACCTGGAAACTGAGTTTTATAAACCTTGAAGGGCTCTCAGAAGATCCACCAGCAGTAAAATCAGCGATTACTATGCAGCCGCAACCATCAGCATCGAGATACCAGGTTTCTGCTGGCGACGTTGCGGCGTTACTCAGTTCCAAATAAAAATT